GTGTGTGTGTGTGTGTGTGTGTGTGTGTGTGTGCGTGTGTGTGCGAGAGAGAGAGTGTATGTGTTTGTGTTTGTATACATACGTGCGTGCAGTACGCACATGCGCATGCGCTGGTGCGCGAGCGCGTGCATACCAACAGGGGCCCCCCAGCCGGCACCTGGTGGGCATGGTGAGCTGGTAATCCAGGGCGGCCAGCATGCTGCGCTCCATGGCCAGGATCTGCTTGCGGTCGTAGGCCTTGTCGCTGATGTACACAAAGTCGCGCACCTGGCGGTGGTGGTTTGGGGGACGAGGGCCAGACAGAGTGAGAGGGGTACGGCGCAGGGCGAGGTTTTGTATGGGGAGCACTTTGAGGGAGGGTATGGCTTGGAGGGCCCAAAGCATGGTGCCGGCTAGTGGGTGTGGGGCACACAAGGGGTCGCCAGCGGGCTGCTGGCCTGCCACGCATCATTAAAGGAGGAGACAACGCTACGCTTGCCGCGCACAGCCCTGCCCCAGGGCTGTGATGACGATGCGCACCTCTGGCGCCCAGATCTCCTCGTACTTGGCAGCCAGGAGCATGGCTGTCACGCCGACCTGGAGGCAGGGGCGCAGGTGGGGGAACCAGGTTGGCGTGCACGACTGAGGGGGGGCGCAGCAGCATGGCGGGCGCGCATTTGACGCCTCTGCTAGGCAACCGCATCCGGGAGACCCTGGCGCCGACCGCACCATCAGCGGCAGCCGTAAAGGCCGCTGGCGCTCCCAAGACCAAGCTGCCTCCCGCACCCACGGGACACAGGGTGCGAGCCAAGCCGCCCCCACCAACATTGGCGCGCAGAGACGCATGCGTGGCCTGCACGGCAAGACAAGCAGGGGCGGGGTCATGGCCCCAAGGGGGGCAGAGAGGCGCGGCCTGTCGCACCAGCTGCAGGTTCTTGCGCGCCACCTGGGCCACCGCGAGGTAGCGGTCGATCAGCGAGACAGCCAGAAACAGCGTCTCTGGCATCAGCTGCGGGGCAGGGGCGGGTGTGCAGGTGGTGGG